GAATTCCGTGTGGTGACTCACTACATCATCAGAGTTCCTGGACTTAAAAAACCCCCACCAGACTCACTGCCCTCCAGTCAGTGAGGACCCATAGAGACCCTATGGGTCAGGATAGGGCAGCCCCTGGGGGTTTCCGAGACTGTGACTCTTCATGGGTGTGGAAATGCCCTGTCTTTCTCCCTCGGAGAGGCTGGTGGTTTCAAACGGCTGACCTTGCTGTTTAGCAGCCTAATACCTAACTGCCACGCCACCAGAGCTCCTTCCTGGACTCCAGGCCCTCTTTCACGAGTCCTGGGGCGGAGGGAGGATTCTTTGCTGGCTTATCCATCGTCCATTCAGGATGGGAGAGGGGGGGCCTCCTTAGCTGACTTGTCCCTTTCCTATAGCTGTGGGGTAGGACCTGCCCTGAAGCCTCTGTCTGAGCATGTTTCTGACCCCAAGATCCTGCAGGGACATGCAACCTGCTCCCCTTGCACACGTGGCCAGGAGCCTGTTTCTCTGTTGATGAGAGCAGAGCTGTGTCCTTAACGGCGGGTTTCCCTCACCCAACTGTTGGCTCATCTGCAGCACCTCTGAGCCCTACTGGGTATGGAGGTAACCCAGGCCCAAGGCCCCAGGCAGGCTGACTAAGGAGGAGTGGGCCAGCCCAGCCATGCGGCTACCATCTTACCCACAGCACAAAGAAAGCCCCCTGCCAATCCAGCACCCCGGCACTCCATGGCCTGAGGCCGGTCCAGCCTCCGTCTGTGACAAGGGGCAGCCAGAGGCAAGTGTCAGAGGTTCTTCTGTGTTAGGGACCCAGGCTGGGTGTATGACCAGTTTATATTGCACCTAGGATCAGGTGTAAGGTGCCCCGATGGCATAGTGCAGTGGTTCTCAACCTTCCTAAGACTGCGACCCTTTCATATACGTCCTCATGTTGTGGTGACCCCCCCAAACCATAAAATTATTTGCATTGCTACTTCATTACTGTCATTTTACTATTGTTATGAATCATCATGTAAATATCTGATATGCAGGATATATTCTCATTGTTACAAATTGAACACAGAGCATCGTGATTCATCACAAAAACAATATGTAATTATATATTGTGAAATATTTGCTTCTAATGACAAATGAAATTTTGTCTTAAAGCATGGTGTAGCATGGGTAATAGTCTTAATATAACAATAGTGAACTATATTGCTACATTTTGTGACAGTATGCGTAAAAAGTCAAGGTCAGTGTGAAGGTTGAGATAGCTTCTTTCTCACCAGATCAGCATATCTGCACGTGAGTGGAGACAATAGAGGATCGGTGTCTCGGTTCCTAAGATCATCAAAAAAATATGTGCTTTCCGATGGTGTTAGGTGAGCCCTGTGAAAGGGTCATTCAGCCCCCAAAGGGGTCTTGACCTACACGTTGAGAACTGCTGCTCTAGGTGGACAGAGCCAAGAACCTATGTAGCCTGCAGGTGTCGGTCTGAACCCTGCCTCTCTCTCTCCCTCCCCTCCCTGCCTCTGGCATTGTGGGTTATGTGTTAGATGACTCAACGTTAAGGTCAGCAGTTCAAACCCACTAGCCACTCCTAGGGAGAAAGATGAGGCTTTCTGCTCCTGTAAAGATTTTTCAGCCTTGGAAACCCCACGGGGCGGTTCTAGTCTATCCTTTCAGCTGGATGGCAGTGAGGGCCAGGTTTGGACTCTATCAGGGGCAAGGCTGAGCTGAGGGACATGCTCTGGCTCTGGCTCCTGTGTCCGTGAGTTCCCTGGTGGTCCTGGAGGGGGCTTCTGCCTGCTCCAGAATCCCCTATGATGGTCCGAAGGCCTGTCTGGCAGCACCAGGAGCTGGTGAGAGTCAGGCTTAGACAGCCAGGCCCCATGACCTATTCCAGAGACTAGGTTTAACCTCTCCCATTCTCCCCCAGGCCTCAACGTGAGTCGCAACTGCACAGAAGGGGGCTGGACACAACTGGAGCCCGACTCCTACCTTGGCGCCTGTGGCTTCAATGACAACGCCGCGTTCAGCCTGCACCAGGTAGACCTCGGCACCCTGGAGCAACCCATCCCCACCCCCAAGGGATGAGATTGCTATCTTTGTGGGAGCCAGGCTTCCTGAGGCTGCCCCTTCCAAGATGCCTCCCTCTCCCAGGCAGCCTATCTGGGGCTAACCCTCAGGCTACCCGCAACAGAGGGAGGGAGGGGCTTTCGGGAAGATGAAGCAGTATCCCTGGGCTAGGCTACCCTGCTGCCTCCTGGGAGACTCGCTCTAGCCCCGGAGGTGGCAGGGCAGGCAGATGGCACCATGCCCATCACATCCAAGGGGGACCTGGGACGCAGCTCGGGAGGGAACCAGCCTCAGCTACAGCCGCCCCCACTCCCTCCGGCCCCCAGCCCCAGGGCCAGTCAGGGTCAGAGCCAGGACCCAGGCACAGAGCCTGTGGTCCTCAGGTTCAGCGTAGGGGGTCTCTGAGGATGTGAGCCCAGCCTTTAGGGATGGTGATGGGGGCTCAGTGGGTGGGGGGCACCCTCAGTTAGCAGCCTCCCTGCCCATTCCAACCCCCCAAACAGCCTCCTCAGAGCTTCCGCTTCTTCCAAGGGGACGGCAGCATGGCAGGAGGCTTCTGAAAGCCCCCACCCCCACTCCCAGGGGGCGAGAGGGCTTTACTACTAGCCTCTAACCAGGTTAAGGTGGGAGAGAGGGACCTGACGAGGGGCCTGGCCCAGAGATTTGTCGCTGTGAATGCGTAACCATGGGGAGAGTGTGGGCAGAAAGAGCTAACTGTGAAGAGCTTAGCAGCCCAGGCCTGTCTGCCTTACCCCCCACACCCCACACCCAAAGCTCAGGTTGCCTGAGAAATTAGCCTGCTGGGCCCAGAGCTGTCCGGCGAAGGGGTGCTGACCCCATGGCTGGAGAGCAAACAAATGCTCGAGCAATGAAGCAGATGAGCCTTCCCCTGGCAAAATCCCTCCTGAAGGAGCCAGGAGAGGGAGTTGAAGTCCACCCTCTGCCCCCACCCTGGGGAGCCATCCTGCCCGTTCCATGGGATCTGGAGAGTTACAGGGGTCCGTAACTCTGAGGGCACTGAAGAAGGCCCCTCAGCCTCTTCATCTACCCAAGGCAAGGCGGGGCAAGGCGGTGCCTGGGGCACCCCACCTCTGCCAAATACCGTCCCCCACTTCTAGGAGAGCCCACCCCCACCCAGCCCCTCAGCCCCGCCTCCCTCTAGCAGCAGCAGGCGGCGTTCTACAGCGCTGTGAAGACCGGCTACACCATCGGCTATAGCCTGTCCCTGGCAGCCCTTCTGGTGGCGATGGCTATCTTGAGCTTGTTCAGGTGAGGCCCATGGGGGCGGGGGGGGCGCGGCGGCAGGTCTCCCAGGAGGTCCGCCCACACCCTTCTGCACGGGGCCCAACCTGTGCATGCTTCATCCACTCCAAGGTCGCCCACCCCTCCAAGCCGCACACCCTGGCCACAGCAGTGGGCTTGCCAGCACCCGCAGCCCAGCCGCGCACAGGGACTGCTGCACCAGCTGTGTGCGCACACGGAGCTGCCCGGGTGGAGAGGGTCCCAGGGAGTGGGGCCGCACCTAGGCACAGGGTCCCTGAGGCGGGACCTACATTCTGCCCTACTACCCCACTTCTGCTGAGAACTCGGAATGGTGTCGGTCAGGGTCAGGGGTCCAAGGGCCCTGCTGCCCCTCCTCCCAGCTCTGTCCCCGACACCGACCCCGTTCACAGGAAGCTGCACTGCACGCGGAACTACATCCACATGCACCTCTTCACCTCCTTCATCCTGAGGGCGGCCGCCGTCTTCATCAAAGACTTGGCCCTCTTCCACAGCGGGGAGTCGGACCGCTGCACTGATGGCTCGGTGAGGACCTCCCCCCCTGACGCCCACCCACTACCCTCGGCCTCCAAATCTCCCCTCTTCTTTCCCTCTCCCTTTCCATCTCCTCACCTCCCTTCTCCCTCTGTTTCCTCTCTTCCACCCACTCTACTCCCCTCCACTTTCATCTGTGCGCACCTTTCTCCCTTCTTTCCCCCTCAAGGATGGCCACCCCCCACCACCACCCCCTCTTGACAGCTCCTCAAACCCCACCCCTTCGCCAGTGGCTGGAGATGCTACTGGGCCCTTGCCGGTTTCTCCCCTGGGTGAAGGAGAATCCAGAGACACCCCCACCCTACTTGTGTTGTCAACGCCTTGGGGAACTCCCTGGCTCACTTGCAAAGACTTCCAACGTCCCAACTCTGCCTAGGGCTCTGTTCAGCATGCCTCACTTCCAGCGCTGCGCACACACCAATTGCCCTCTGGGTGGTGAGGTTCACATGCAGACACACATGCCACCCTCATCTCCTGTACTTCTCCTGCGGTCAGTCCAGTCTGGGCCTTCCTATGGGAGGGAGATCAAGGGACCGTCTAATGAATTCACCCCTGTGGCTAAGGAGTCCGTCTCTCAGTGTGTACCAGCTCATCATCAGGGAGTGTCCACAGATCCCAGGGCCTACCCTGAGCTTGGGCCAGAGACCAGGCCTGGCTCCGGCCCATACCTTCTGGTCAAGGATTCCTTGGCCGTCCCCGGTGACCCCAGAGAAGCACACAATGTCCAGAGTCAACCGTACCTTCTCCCCGCAAGAACGGACCTCCAATGGATCTCAACAGGGGGGAGAGGGAACCCCGGAAAGCAGCCGTGGCTATTCCCACCGCTCCTCAGAGGGTCTGGGCTCCCAATCAGAGGGGTGGGATGTGAGCCCCAGAGCCCGGGAGCAGCCTTCATTCGAGGATCATCACGGAGACCAGCTTCCTGACTCATTTGTGTCTCAGAAACGTTTCTAGGGCAGAGAAAGCACAGATCATTGGCCTGTTAGAGAGTTGAGTTACTCTTGTTGGAAAGCAAATGGGGGGAGGGTGGAATAAGAAAAGAGAGAGAGAGAGAATGAAATCGGCTGTATCCAGAGAGACGGACGTGCACTCTGGGGAGGGCTGTCCTATCAGGGGAAAGCAGGCTGCTCTCTGAGGCTCTCAAAGCCCAGGGTGAGAAACCATGTTCTGGGTGTAGGGGATGAGAGGGAGCTGGAAGCTTCCTGGAGGAGGCAGTGGCTGTAAGGCCTGGCTCAGAGCATCTGGGTTTGATGGGAACTGGAAAGCTGTTCCTGAGGGAGTACAGAGGACCCTGAAGCTCTTCCATTTGTGCCAAGGGGGGCAGCAGAGCCCCTAGATTGCCCCACTCAGGGGCCTTGCTGACTCCTCTGTCATCATCATCTACTTTTCTGCTCTGGGAAGAATGACTGCCCACCTCTCTTCTCTTCCTTTCCACTGTCTGCTTCTCAGTCCCTATCTCCTGTCAGACTCCCATGCTGCCACGCCGGGGCATAGCTAAGCGGATGAGTAGGTGTATGGAAAGCTGAGTACGGTTGAAGAGATGATAGGAATAGGGGTTGGTGGGTAGACAGATGGATCAAAGGATGGATGGGTGGCTAAGTGGGTAGACAGGTGGATGGGTGGATGAAAGGATGGATGGGTGGTTAAGTGGGTGGGTTTCAGGCAGGTGTCCAGTGTATGAGTAAGTAGGTGAATGGAGACGTAGGTGGGCGGGTGGATTCACAGGCGAGAAGATGAAAATATGATGGGTGAGTGAGTGAGTGAGTTGGTAGTGCATGTCTGGTGGAGAAGTAGATGGCTAGGTAAGTGAGTGGATGGTTGGATGGGGACGTGGGTAGATGGATACACAGAGGAGAAGGTAAAAAAGACAATGGATGGACAACTAACATCACCAACATCTCCAAAGCATCCGATGCTCAAAATCAGGGACGATGGGGACATCACGGAAGCATTTTAAAGGAAGGAATACAAAACAAGCAGGAGATGATATCGGCTGCCCTTCAGAGGGAGGTGTGGGGAGGACGGGCCGGGACCCCAGCCAGCGTCTTCCTTGCGCCTCTTCCTTACAGGTGGGCTGTAAGGCAGCGGTGGTTTTGTTCCAGTATTGTGTCATGGCCAACTTCTTCTGGCTGCTGGTGGAGGGACTCTACCTGCACACCCTGCTCGCCGTCTCCTTCTTCTCTGAGCGGAAGTACTTCTGGGGGTACATAGTCATCGGCTGGGGTATGGTACCTGGGAGGGCTGCCAAGCTGGGGGGCACAGTGGGCAGGCCCCGGGAAGCTCACCTGGGGAAGGGGACCAGCCCAGCCCACAGACTTAATGGTCTGCTGGGCTGTAGGTCTTGCGGATAGGGCTCCTGGCCAAAGGTAGATCAAGGTTCCCAAATGTCTGAGCCCTACCAAGTGCCAGGAGACGGCACCTAGGGGCACAGACAGGGTCTGGGGGCATCCTCTCATGCCCCCCTTCAGCATCCCTCCCACCACCACCCCGGAACAGAAAGGGCCATTGGTTGTTGATAAGGTGCATTTGTCAAAATTGGAAGACGACCCTCTAGGTCCGTGGTTCTCAACCTTCCTAACGCCGTGACCCTTTAATAGTTTCTCATGCTGTGGTGACCTTCCCAATCATGAAATTATTTTCATTGCTACTTCATCACTGTCATTTTGCTACTATTAGGAATCAGGCGACCTCTGTGAAAGGGTCGTTCAACCCCCAAAGGGGTCGTCGAGACCCACAGGTTGAGAACTGCTGCTCTAGGTGGACAGAGCCAAGAACCTACGTAGCCGCAGGTGCCGGTCTGAACCCTGCCTCTTCTCTCTCCCTCCTTCCCTGTCTCTGGCATTGCCCTTCTGGTCCATCTCTCTCACCCCCCTGGCCCTGCCTCCTGGGTCCTCCCCTCTCTTTCTCTCTCCTCTGACCCTGACAGGGGTCCCCAGCACCTTCATCATGGTATGGACCATCGTCAGGATCTACTTTGAGGATTATGGGTAAGCTCCGGCTTGGCAGGGTCAACACAACATTGGTTCCATGGAGGAGGGCTGCAACTGGAGGGCACCCTGGGTAACAACAGACTCTGGGCCCGGGGCCTTCCCCATTGGTGCTCCCCCTGGCTACGGACAACCCCTCTCTTTCTCCCTCACCATCCCTGCCCAGGTGCTGGGACACCATCAACTCCTCCCTGTGGTGGATTATCAAGGCCCCCATCCTCACCTCCATCTTGGTAAGGCCTTCACTTAGAGATGGGAAAACAGAGGCCCACAGGACAGAGGCAGCTCTCCTCAAGTCAGGGCCCTGGTAGCAAGGTGGGCTCTGCACCGGGCTGCTCACTGCAAGGTCAGCGGTCAGAAACCACCAGCCACCCCGAGGAATAAAGAGGAGGCTTTCTACTCCCATGAAGAGTGACAGTCTCAGAAGCCTACAGGGGCAGTTCTACCCTGCCCCACGGGTCACGATGAGTCCGTGGTAGTGAGTTGTCACCTTAAGTCATAGAAGAATTGGTGTCTAAGGTCAGAACTCAACTCCAGGCTTCCTACTGCCCAAGACCAAAGTGAGCTCCCGGCTGGCTAGGAGAGGGGGCTGAACCTCAGGGTCCAGGGGCAAGTGAGATGGGAGGGTAGCAGGGACCTAAGGAAGAAAGCAGCTCATTATCAGCCCAGGGGGGCTGGGTGCCTGTCTCCCGACCTCCTGACCACCATCCCACCCACCAGGTGAACTTCGTCTTGTTCATTTGCATCATCCGAATCCTGGTTCAGAAACTGCGGCCCCCAGAAGTCGGCAAGAAAGACAGCTGCCCCTACTCGTGAGTGTGGGCCCAGCGCCTTGACCTCTCCCAGCACCCCGGCCCCAAGGTCCTCAAATCAGCCCGCCCCACCCACAAATGTCCTTGCTCAAACCCTATACTTACCAGACTGCCTCCCAGGCCCAGGTCTGTTTCTCCTAGACTCACCACACTGGTGATCTAGGGGTTCAGACGACAGCGGGTAACCTGTGTCCCATTCCCACCGTGGCCCCAGGGCCTGGTATGTGCCTGACACTGACCACACAGTAGACAAATGTCCTGGGGGAGGGGCATTTACAGACACAGCCATGCTTAGGACTCAGTATAGCCCCACCATAAGAAAGACATCCACAGCTGACTGGGTGCTCAGGACTCAGTGCCCCCAGTCCTAAGAAGGATGTCTGTAGTTGACTGGGTGCTCAGGACTAAGTATCCCCCAGTCCTAAGAAGGATGTCCACCACAGTTGGCTGGCTGCCAGCCGTGGGCTAAATTGTTTCCATGGATCTTCACTACATTTCATCCACATAGCAGCCCTATGTGAAAAAATCCGCATTTTACCCATGAGGAAGCTGACAGGCATTCCCTCTTCCTCAACAGACAGCGCCTGCCCATCTCCACAGGGCAGAGGGGTGGTATCAGTGTGACAGTGTAGCAGAGTGGGGGCTGCTCCCTGTGGTTGGGTGGGAGGTTGCTAGAGAAACCAGTGGGCATTCCTGAGAGCAACAAGGCGAGCAGGGAGACTGGCAGAAACATGAAGACTGGAGGCGGGGCGGTGGTTGGGGGCAGAGGGATTTGCACACCCAGGAGACTGGTTGGTAACCATGCTGTGCAGATGAGACAGGTTCTAGAAGGTTCTCTGGGCCTGACTTCTTTGGAGAGGATGTCTTGGGCTGCTGCATTTGGGATTCTATCTGGAGCGCTGTGATGGGTCGGCTCTGACAAGGCTGGGACTCACATTCCTCGGGTGGCAGATTTCTCTCCTGCTGGGGGAGCAGCTGCAGCTCACGTTCCTGTTGGAGCCTGCTGTATCCCAAGGGGCAGCACCAGGGAGCCCACACACTCTCGTCCTCTCCTTTCTCTGGGGGGACCTTGTTTCCCCAACGCACACCACTCAGAGCTGCTTGCATCCAAGGTAGGGGTGTTGGTCATCAGTAGGGCTGTGTGGGTGAGATGGAAATTGAACAGCTGTCCGCAGGCAGAAGGGGGGTGGGTAGAAGATGGGGCTCCCCCTCCCCGTAGAGGCACTGTCAGCTTCCACTCTCCACCCCCACCCCACCCCATAAGCTTTCACTTTAAAGAAAACCTCCATCTGTCAGCCTCAGGCGGAGCCTGGAGAGTGGGGATCTTGGGGTGGCTGGGATCCACAATCAGGATGCCCTGGAGAGCAAAGCCAGCTCCCCTGTTCCCAGCTGGCTGTGGGGCCTCAGGCCCAGGGCACAGCCTCACCAGGTAGACTGCCAAGGCAGGAGAGATAGAAGCAGAGACAACCGCCACCCCTGCGCCCACCCCAGGCTTCTCCCAACAGGAAACCAATAGGCCCATACTCCTTGGACCAGCTATGAGATCAGGTGGGTGGAAAGCCCAAGTCAGGGTGAACCCTGCTCTGTGGGAGAGGGGCAATTCGTTTGGAGTGGATTCAGACTCTGCCGAGCACACAGGCTGGTGAGGGGTGTGCGCTTTGTGTGCGGGAGGGTGCAATCCCTGAGAAGGTGGTGACTCCTGGAGACGTCAGTAGACACAACAGGACCCTGAGTCTTCCCTGGAGCCAGCTGGGTGCCCGTCACCCTGCCCAGTGTCCTTGGGCACATGTAGCCAGATCCCCTGCTAGAAAGGCTTCCTTCCCAGAAGTCAATGGCCTCCTGTCAGAAATCGGAGCCTCACAGGTGGAGGTACTTTATCGCACTCAGAGCATGGGGGATTGCAGTGTCTGCCAGCTGACCATGTTGAGTGTACATGGACACCTGTGATACAGATGGGGAAACTGAGGCCAGAAAAGGAAGCATGAGGATCTCCTGTGGCCTGAGGCTATCTTTAGCTGCTGCAGTGTCTGAACCCCCACTGCTCGGTATCTTCAGTAGCCTCTGCTCTCTAGCCTCACCCCTTGAGCACTGGAGGAGGGGGTTTCTTCTCGTGTTTCCTTCCAGTTCAGGAAGGGCGGCAGGGAGCCAAGTCTGTCCTCACACGTCTGAGTCTTTGTCTCCACCTTCTAGACCCCCGTGCCCAGCTGCCCCTACACCAGGCCCAATCTTCCCTAGCCAGGCGGACACACAGACTCACGGACTGCCCTTTTCCCCATCCCCCAGGAGGCTGGCCAAGTCCACGCTCCTGCTGATCCCCCTGTTTGGCGTCCACTACATCATGTTTGCCTTCTTCCCCGACAACTTTAAGGCCGACGTGAAATTGGTCTTCGAGCTCGTCGTGGGCTCTTTCCAGGTAGGAACTGCTGGTGGAAGGCCACCTTTCGCTCGGGCATTGAAGTGAATTCCACCTGGGCCCCTCCCTGGACCCCAGGTTTCCAGCATTGCTGGAGCACCTGTTGTGTGTTTCACCAGGGGACGGCAGGGCAGCCCATCAGGTCTGTCTCCTCCACCTCTCTTTTGCCTCTTTACTCCCAGGGCTTTCTTGTGGCCATCCTCTACTGCTTCCTCAATGGTGAGGTAAGTCCCCATCCCACCCCAGACCTCCAGGGTTGGGGGACACGGAAATGCCGATGGGGGGCCATGCTGAACAAAGACGGGTCAAACTTTGAGGGCCCGCCCATGGTTCTCAGCCTA